ACGCATCTTTTGGAATGGTTATCAGCCGGTCCGTCGCATTTCGCATGATGTCTTCTCTCGACTAAATTTGGGTTCCTTTTAGCGGCATTTTCAGCTTGAGAAATAGCCAAAGGTCACACGGAGCCATGTGGAGAGAGTACGGAGCGTGACGAACCACAGGAGTATTGTGTTTGGCGACGAAAGCCCGAATCAGATGCGCAGAATGGGCGGATGCGTTATCACGATGGAGCTGCCAAGTTTTGATCGACCACAGATCCGGTCGTTTGCGTCGCACTGTATCGGAAAGACGACGAAGGACCTCCTGGTAGTACTCCTTTGCGATGGTTTGGCCTTGTGGTGCGTACTCACGACACACCACCCCACGAGAGTCGAAAAAACTGTCAACATGACCTTTGATATTGCTGCGGACCTGCCGCGCTTTTTTTGGCCTCGAGGATCGTCCCCGAAAGCCTGCTGAATCTTGCGAATGGTTTACACTCGGGTATCGCCAAGGTTTTTGGCAAAATTTGATGTAATATCGCTGCTCACGTTGTTCAGTCATTTTCCAGCTTAGTGAAATCCGACGAGAGCGCACTACATGACCTCACTCATACGCCGATTGCCAACGACTGACGCTTCCTGCAGGCGGGAAAAAATTCAGGGCTGTGCATGACTGTCCCCTCCACAACTCCACCGAAGAAGGCCTCTCTCGCATCATTGGTTTACGCGGAAAATAAAAAGGTCCGATACTTTTTGAACAGACCTTGTATGTCATCTTCTACAAAGATTTATGAAAGGTTTAGTTTTGTCTTTGTATGGAAATACCATACAAAGACAAAACTAAACCTTTCATAAATTACTCAATTCACAGATATGTATGCAGACTTACAGTATTTCATGGTAAGAGAGCAAATGCTTTCTGTGTTCTTATTCGTCCAGACGAAAATAGTTATAAAACTGCCAAAAGAAAATTGGAGAAGCTGAAATATTCCGAACTCAAAATGGTACAGAAGCGATGTTTCGTGTATATTTTTCAAGTTGCGTGTATGAAGGGCATCGATACAGCAACTCGAGTATTTAGAGAAGTGTTTCCTCAAGTGAACTACGTTAGTTATAACTTTTTACCCTCCTATGTATCAATCATTGCAAGCAAAGAAGGCGCCCTGCAGATTTTTATTAATGGTTTTCGTATGGTGGAAATAAATTTGTTGCATTAAACGGCACCATTAGAATTTGACGTTTAACCAAGTGTTTGGTTCTATACTATTGCGTGTATTCGACAAGTGAGTTAGTCATTCTACTGGGGTATAAGACGGTCGGCATCCAGCTAGTATAAATCGTTAAAAGCAAAGATATACGAGGGAACATTTCTTAAATCGTGGAGTGCAATAAACTAGCGTCTGAAATCATTCCTACAATTACCTCCTCTTAATTTGCAATCAAGTCATTGCACGTGACGTCACAATTCACAATCTAGACATACAAAGTTTCTGGTGTTTATATATCGATGTTGAGTTTTATAAAAGCGAAATAATTCGGTTAATTTATTTACATTCGTATCTAATGCCACTAACTTGTAAGTCACATTCATAATTTTGAAATAAAAATAATATTAAATGAAATTTATTTCTTTGTTTGTATACTTTACAATTACTTTAAAACCTACACTAATGAGTTCTGTCAATTCTCTGATTATATTTTTAGTGTGTAAGTGGGCGACTTGTGTGTGAACATTCAGAATTACCGTCGTTTTCGGATTAATATAGCTCTTTACATTCTGTAATAAAATCACGTAATTAAAGAAAAAAGTTTTCGGGCACAATAACTTCTAATTGTGTAGTATTAGTAAATTTAAGTGAAAAATATTGCTTATTTATTTGGAATACTTACAGATAAGATCTTAAACACCTACATATGTATAAATAAGAATGTTTGTTTGTTCGCTATACATTTCTAGACCGCTGGACCCATTGCTACGTAACTTGGCAGTTACGTTAACATACTTCCAACTTAGATAATACCGTACATACTGTTCGGAAATATTGAATTAGTATCTTTAAATATCAATTAATTCCCGTCTACATTGGATTTGTTGGCTTTTCATTTTTAAATGCTACTTTCTTAATTTCAATAAGTTCTCACTACTGACCGAGTGGATAGAACCAACGAACACTGGTCGTAGGTCTGCACATTGGCTACGTGAAGTTTTTATAGACTTTTTTTTGTTAGAAACAGCGAAATAAAGGCCAGATTGTGTAATAGATCGCCCATGTGTTATATTCCATCGCATATGTGTTATAAATTGAAACAAATTAAGAAAATATAAAACGTTAACATTGCCAACTTCCTCGCTTTTGCGCTTGCAAATGTTGTTATTAATTCAGAATAATTTAATTCCTGGGCAATACTATTTTCGATAGATAAAATTTATTTACGTTCAACTATGTGTCAGGATAGATCGTCAGATCTATCCTGACACATAGTTGAACGTAAATAAGTTTTAATTTACTGAAATTTCGTTCGCCTTTAGCGACAGTTACAGGTTTGGTCAGCAAAATTCGATAACTTCTTCGTAATATTTTGAACTGATAACCTCTGGTATAACCTCTTCTGTAATATTTTGAACTGCATATGACATTCCAGAAATAGCTAAATCTTTTTGTGCATGCTGCTGTTCATCTTCATGGGCTTCGTCTGAAGAACTTTTATTAAATAAGTCTTCAGTCGCGTGTTGAACTAGGACGATTTGGATGACTTTTATACTCTCAAATATTTTGCTAGCAATTTTGGATACTTTTCAGTTTCGCCTTGCTTTTTACGTTTTTTTTAAATTTTTGTGCGCCAGATAGTTTTTTTCCTTTTTTTGGAGGTAGCGACATGTTTTGTCTGTAAATGCGGCCACATACGTTAAGTAAATCCTTTGAGGATTAACCGTGCATGCCTGATCTTGAGGAAATTCAAAATTTCCTATCGCTCACATACGAAGAAGAAAATCTCTCAGTCAGTCAGTCGGCCATGGCATCTGATGACCATATACTGGCTGTTCTTGGATGTTTATTGGAAATAAATTGTATTAAAACTCGCGGGAAGAAAGTGTGCATAGAAGTCAATGGTGTAAATAGTAGTTATAGTGGTTTGGGTAGCACTAAACACAAAATTAATTTATCATACGAATCATTTTTAGTGGAATTATTTCAGATCACAAAATTAATTTTTCAAGAGAAATCTTCGGATATAGATTCTGTTAAAAAGCATCAGTTATCAGCGAAAAATCAATGGCAAGTCGATTTTACTACCAAAAAAATTCCTGGATTAAATTTATAGACGAAAAACCATCGGATATAACTGGCTGGATCGAACATAGTAATTTAAAATAATTATTAAATTATTTCTCAACGTATAAAGAATTATTTTTATTTAAAGGTGGATAGATAGAAAAAAAAATCTTTTTAAAAACTGGAGCTACAGTTATTTAGATATCGAACTTCTTGGGTGTCCAAGATCGGATAATATTAAAAAGAATTGTTTATTATCACAAATATTTTAAAAAGCATTGTTTTTTTTCAGATATTCTATCTTACGAACAATTCTTAATTAAACAAAAAATAGATAATTTCAAAATCAATACAGTGTATAGATATTTAATAAATAAGTAACGAATATAATTTAAATAATTATTATATTAAACTATTTCCCTATTTTACTTTGTCTTATTGTTAAAATATTATTTCAAATTGTCCAACACACTTCCAGGAACTGTTCAGTTTTCCCCCACACACTACTCAAGGTCAGGCATGCACGGTTAATCCTCAAAGGATTTACTTAACGTGTATGGGCCTCTTAACCCGTTCTTTTTGTCTTATTGGCCCTCGGGCCTTAACTCTCCCATTGTCTTATGTTCTTGGAACTGGTGGTCCATTGTCTTTAGTTTTTGGGATTGGTGGTCCCACCCAAAAGGTAGAAACGAAATGAAAAGGAAGTTCTAGAAAGACGGAGAACTAAAGGAAATAACGAAATAAACGTATAAATATTGGTTTCTTTAATCTTGGTATTTATTTTGGTGGACAGGGTTAAGTAGTAATAAGGTGATCGGGTTTTATTTTTTTCGCAGACAATCTATCGTTGCATTTTCGGCGCCCCTACTATGACGGCGTCCGGTGCGGTCGCACCGTTCGCACCGCCCTAAAGCCGCCCCTGTTGATAGTCTCTGTTATCTCCTGTTTGTAACACCTCTCTATTTATTCTCTATTTATTCTTCATTACTGAAATAATCCTTTCTACAAACGTATTAGTAAAAATCCTATAACGCTGGATACGTTCGTATAGTCGAACGAGTTAAACGCGTTAGTAACGAATCGTTCTAAAAGTAGAAGTCTGGCTCAGTGTGTATGCTCTGCGGTGATGACGTTTCGAACGAAACTCTAATGAAGTTCACGAAGGAAAGAGTTGTCCACTTCGTTAAGAAAATGGCGCCTGATGATATCGATGTTTCTAAATCTACTCGAGTGTTTAAACTGTTAAAAGGTGAAATGACAGAAATAACTGTCCAACCGAAGCAATCTAAGAAAAATATTTTGGATAAGGCTGCACTAGCAACATTCGTATCTTCGATTTTAGAAATAGCCATTTAGTTATAAACGAATCGTTCGAAAAGTCTAACGAAATAAGAGTAACGATAACGTCATTTTAGTTTAACTCGTTCGACTTTACGAACGTACCCGGACTTTTGGACTGGACCAACACATTGCAACACCTCGGGGACCGCAGAACACACATTGACAACATTGTTCGATATATCACGCGTTTTCGATTATGACAATAAATCATTTATATTGTATTTCAAAACTTATTTATATATTTTATTTAACACTGCTCCGATGCGAAAGACCAAATATAATTAGACGACGAGAAGAGATATTTTAAGCTAATTAATTAACCCCTTGACCCCTAAAATGGACGGGTCTATTTCCTAAGTTCGGATTAGGTACACAGCAGGGGGAAACGGTCAAGAGTGACGTGGGTAAGGTCATTCAAGTTTGGTTCGCCATTGTTTGCAGTGGGACAACTGAAACTTTTAGTAAGTATTTTTGTTATAATTATTTTGTATATAGTGATTTCTAGATAAATTTAATCGAAAATTGATTCATACAGTGAGAAAGTAGCTGCTATAATTATAAATCAGATAAATTTGGTTGTTTGTTCTATATCTAGTACGTTTATAAATCATAAGGCTACAGTTTAAAACGATTAATGATAATAAAGTCTGTCCGATGAAAGATTATTTTCCCTGTTATAGAATGTAACGTAAGAAAAGTATGGCGATCTTAGTTAGATATTTTACCTCAGGGTTTATTATTATTATTATTTATTTTTAATTTAACGTTTTTATACATCACCAGCCGAGAAATGTAACAATATCTATACAAAATTGTGATTGTGTGGGTGTATATCTTGCAGTACAGTATACAGTGTTAGGGGCCGTCCATAAATTACGTAAGGGCGATTTCGGCCATTCTAAATTCCCATCCATCCCTGTGTAATTAAGGCGACTATCACGTTAAGTTAATCTTTTGAAACTGCCTGACCTTGAGGAACTTCAGAATTTCCTATCGCCCACAAACAAAGAAGAAAAGCTCTAAACAGAGGCGTAGCTAGGGTGGGGCAGCTTGCCCCGGGCGCCACTCGCAGAGGGGCGCCAAATGGTTTCCAAGAAAACAAGGTTTGTTTCTGGAGGGGAAGGGGGTGCCAATATAGTATCGTGCCCCGGGCGCCAGTTATGTTCGCTACGCCATTGTCTCTCAGTCAGTCAGTCGGCCATGTCATCTGATGACGACATACTGACTGTTCTTGGATGTTTATTGGCAACAAATTCTATTAAAAGTCGCGGGAAAAAGTATGCATAGAAGTCTATGGTGTAAATTGTAGTAGTAGTGATTTGGGTAGCACTGATCACAAAATTAATTTTTCATACGAATAATTTTTTAATGGAATTATTTCAGATCACAAAATTAATTTTTCAAGAGAAATTTTGGGCTATAGATTATGTTAAAAAGCATCAATTATCAG